GTACAAGGAGCCAAGACATGGCTTGGTACCTTGAGTGGAGAAGTAGAGGGTGTGTACAATTAGGACCTTTCAGGATTCATTTATCTGCTTGTATGGGTTTGTTTATTTATTGATCTGATTTATTTGCTGCACAAACAAAAGGAAGTGAAACAACTGAGAAAACAAGCAAGGAAGATAAAACACTTATAAAAGCCAAGAGCACTAAGATAAACTATATAGCAACTCCCCAAACCTATATCAGGGTTGAACTTTGCCTGCTACATGCTCGCCCCAACAGGAAGGTCTTCCTGAAGATAATCAGGGTCAGCCTCTGGCAGGCCTGGAAGGGAAGGAAGTTCCAGAGCTGCGGGCTAACTAGTAAGAATGACATCCCACATGTTTTTGCCAAGAAAGCTTGGCTCATTGAAGGTATTTGCAAGAGATCGCTCTTAGCTAACCTTAGGGATTATCCTGGGGGATAAGGGAGAAAGTGATCCCTTAGTTACTAGGCCTGTGTGAGTCAGCAGTGATCTGATCTGGCTTCGGATCTGGCTGCTTTGGATGGCGGCGATCCAATCCAGAGCTTCGACCGGGTTTCCACCTCGATCCGGCCAAAGCGGCTCCAAATCTTCGGAGCCGCCTCGGAGATCCAGCCATGGGGTATAATGGGGAATCAATGAAATATCTATAACTTTGTTGTTTTTTGTCCAATTTGGATGAAACTTGCAGGGATGGTAGCCTCTGCTGAGAGCATGAAACCTGCCAAGTTTCAAGAAGATCAGTGAGGGGGTTGGTGGAAACTGTACTCCAAATTCTTGAAAGCCAAACTCCTGTCACGGCTGTGTCTTACACCACAGGGTGGTCAAAACTGCAGGGCTGGTACCTCTTACTGAGGCCACAAAGCCTGCCAAGTTTCAAGGAGATCGGTGCAGGGGTTTGGGGGGACGGCCCCCTCAAGCTGCAGACAAGCAAAACTCGTGCCATGGGTGACCCTGCGTGTGTTCAGGTTCAGCGGGGTGACAGGTGCAGGGATGGTGGCCCCTGCTGTGACCCCTGCCAGCTGTCAAGGGGATCGGTGCAGGGGGGTCCTGGGGCCCTGCACCCCTAGCTGCTGACAGGCAAAACTCATGCCAAGACTGTGTCTGTCTTGGGACAGTTGATTGTCTGTATTGAGTCTTTCCTCTCCTTAGCCTGGTTTTGTAGGTGCTAATTGATGCTCGTTAAGTCGTTATGTAGTAGCTAGGTCCTGGGACAGACACAGTCAGTCCCACAGCACCCATGGCACCAGTTCTGCTTGTCCGCAGCCTGAGGGGCGGTTCCCCCCAAACCCCTGCACCGATCTCCTTGAAACTTGGCAGGCTTTGTGGCCTCAGTAAGAGTTACCAGCTCTGCAGTTTTGACACCCTGTGTTGTAACATATAGACGTGACAGGAGTTTTGCTTTCAATAATTTGGGGTACAGTTGACCCCAAACCCCTGCACCGATCACCTTGAAACTTGATAGACTTCATTGTCTCTTCAGGGATCCGAAGCTCTGTCCGAAGCTTTGCACAGCCCAATTAGTTACATAGGGTCCAGGCCATTTAGAGCCTCATGGGTCAAAGCCAGTACCTTAATTGCACCTGGGAAGCTACTGGGAAGCAGTACAGACTTTGGAGCACTGGGCTGTGTTGACCAGCCCCTGTCAGAAGGCCTGTCACTGTGCTCTGCACCAGCTGCAGCTGCTGGACTGTCTTCAAGGCAAGCCTACATAGTGCACAGTGCAGTAGTCAAGCCTGGAGGTTACAAGGCTAGTCCAGTATCAGGCAAGTTGTGAGTGTAGCAACCAGCCCTGCCTTATACCTTATGACTATAATCTGTGTCACACCAAGTCACAAGGCCATATCTGTGCTTATGAGCCTAAAACATCTCACTGTGGGCCCTGGGGAGTGGGTGAAATGCTGAAGGGTTGGATAGAGGGAATGTGGAGGGTTACAATCTGACAATTGTACCATGAGTATTTGTTTCTTGAAGCACTGAGGTGTTTGTGCTCCTGCTTCCAACATGGCCCCAGCTGACCCCAGCGCATGAGGGAGGTGGGAGGCAGGCAGGTCCATCCTGGGTATTTATGTGTCAAAGTTCACCCTGCTCAGCTGTCAGCCAGGGTGGACAAGGTACCTGGGGTGGCAGGAGAGGTAGCAGTGCAGAAGAGAACAGCAGCCAAGGGCCTGGTGCCTGCTGGAGTCACCATGGACCGAGTTATGCCATCTCTTGGAGAGCACCTTCTTGGTGCCAGCTGGAGCACTGAAATACTATCTTGTGTGATTTCAGACCCCACCCTGTGTTTATGTACATGGATCCCAGTGAGCTGCATCCAGGACCCAAGTGAGTCAACAGAAATCTCTTCTTTGCTGGAGAGTTCTGGTAAAGATCATATAAAAACAGGCTTGTGCCTCTCTCTGCTCCTTGTGATGGATAAAAAGAGCTGCAGGGGCTCGCTCCAGGGAGACGGCAGGGTTCTGGTTGTTCTTACCTATGGAATATCAGGAAAGGGGGACGGGGGCCTGTCCGGCCTGCCTTGCTACATGGGAGGAGCTGCTGCTGGGTTGCAGATGTGTCTGAGCGGGCCATGGGGAGCTCTCCCACACTCAGTGAAGGGGCAGGGGTGACTTTACCACTCAAAACCCTTCCTCCAAAACAAAGCAGCCCACAAATGCCAGCAGTATGAGCACAACCTGTATGTCTGTGAATGGGGAATAAAGTGAGCAGGGGGCAGGTACTTGGGCATCGGAAGGACCAAGAGAGCTGTTGTAGGTCCCAGGGACACTTTCCAAACTTTGTGCATCTATACTAGAACACCCTTTATACACGGTTGACTGGTTAATCGAGCCAACTGACAGAGGGAATAGGTGCAGGGGCAGACAGATTTAAATTCCTCTAAAAGGATGCATGCTTTATACAGACAGTGCTCATTAACTAATCCAGTCATGGGCTACTGCATGCATAGGTAACTAGGCTATACCCAATACCTAAACTGTTTTCACTTCCCATATTCTAATGCATCATTAACAGAACTTATTTATCACTCTCCTATATTATCCTGTCTGGTGCCTGGTTAGCCAGTCCATTGCACTCAGGGCTGGTGCCATGGAGAAGTGCTCCATGCTGGAGCACAGGGCTGCTGATTCCTTTGGGGGAACTGTAGATTTTGACTGTGCCCAGTAGCATAACTGGAGGGGGTGAGGGATTGTCAGGTCAGCAGCCAGTACTGCCTCATGCAGTACATCTCAGACTGTGTCTGTTTTCAGTGCTGCCAGAGCAGACTGTTATGTGATTGTCTCCTTTTCTGTTAGGTCCAAAACCTCTCCTAAGCCAGCCTACGAGAACACTAGTGATCTGTACCTTGTACCAGAGTGAGTACTAGACATGGTTGTATATGCACAACCCTAAATATCTGCCCTTTATATGGTGTTTTGCACCTTCTCCTCATACCAGCCCATGCAATTTCTGTCCACATGCTGTTCGTGTACCTGCAAGCTGTCAGATAAAGTAAACTGTGCATGGGTGATGGGAGACTGCATCCTGCCTGCGCTGAATTCACACAGGCTAGGAAGAGCTACAACACAGGAAAAGGCAGCAAATGTCTTTCTGAAATGGACAGTAAGGCTAAGTACAGATAGTCAAAAAGCCCAAGGCTAAATCGATTCAGTCTTTGCAGTTTGTCTAAACTGCACAGATTAAATTGAAACAGAAGTAAACAGACACCTTTGATTCAGGAAATGCAGCTTTGCTGCTTTCCCATATGGATTAAGCCCCTATGAAGCCACCATTCTTTATCTGAAATTCAAATCATGCACTGTTTGAATGCTGGTTGTCTAATTCTACCTCTTGAGCACAACCTCCTGAGTGGTGATCAGTCATGCGAAGCTGAACCAAAGCTGGAAGATGAGGACATTCCAGTGCAGCATGTGAAATGTGTTAGTGTCTCTGTAGGGCAACCTCCTCCCTCTGCATTGTCTTGAACCAGTGCCCCAGAACGAGAGCACTGGTTGAAGCTGGGGAGGGAGGCACAGGCTGCACTCACCATGCCCTTGGATTTGTGGTTTAATCTCTTTCACCTTCTCCCCTCCTTGACAACTGCTGCCTTGTTATCCTTGTCTTATGGGTCACAAAGACCATTCCACTGCCTGCAACTCCAGGCTGAGAGGTGGCTCATGTGGGAGGGCAGAGCACACTCCCCTTTAGCCCCACATCCTGTGGCTCAGCAAGGTCCCAGACCCAGGAGTGGGGAGGAGGGTGTACCAGCAGGCTGCCTGCACCCCTGTCCTGCAGATATTTGCAGCCCACTGCTCCTCTCATGCAGAAAGTTTATATTATAGACAATTCTGAAGGAACAAAGGACAGTTTCTGTCCTGGCCATATGCCTGCCAGTTCTGCATCTGCCCATTCTGGCCCCAAAGTTTTATATCTTGAGCTGAGTTGCCAAGGAAAAGTGGTTCATCTATAAGTGCTTAACAAGCACCAAGCAGAAGCAGACACATCACAAAGAGCTGGGGACAAGCTGTGTGTATCTTTTTTTCCCCTTAGAGATGAAAAGGAACACATTTATGAAGAAGTGAAGTGACAGCAAACTTGACAGACTGAACAAAGCGTTGTGTTGCAGAAAAGCCTTTGGCAGAGAGTCTGAAAGCAGTCCCTCCAGATGGTACAGAATAGAAAGCTCTTGGGCCTAGAAATTAAAGTAAGGGTGTCTTTGAATTCCTTCTTACACTCCCCACCAAAATGTCCAAGCCCTGGGGACAGATGTCAGCATCTCTTCCACAGCATTCAGAAGGTTTGTGTGAAAGTAGCCAAGGTAGGTAGCCTGAGAAATGGCTTCTGATTTCCCAAGTGGAGATTAAACCAGGCAAAACTGCTAGAGCAGAGGTGGGCAAAACGGCCAATCTGGCCAGCAGCCGGACTCCATTTCCCAGCAGCCCCTGCTCATGCCACTGCAGCCAGTTTCCATGGAGACCCCAGGCCTAGGGCTGTGCAGGCAGCAGATCTTGGCTCTGCCCCGGCTCTGGACCACGCTGTCACCACCACAAAATCCCAGCCCCAGCCCTGGAGCAGCTCCCTGCCCAGCCACATACCCTGTCAGTGCTGCTTGGGCCCGTCTTAGTGCAGAGCCAGGTTTCCATAGTCACAGCCCTGCCGCTCCTGGGTTCTCCATGGAAACCAGCTGCAGCATCATGGGCAGGGGCTGCTGGGAAATGGAGTCAGCCATGGGCTAGAGCTGGTCTGTGGGCTGGACTTTGCCCATTCCTGTGCTAGGGGGACTAGAGGAAGGCAGCGAGAGGGAGCACGTGAATGTACGTTGGCCTGCCTGTTGATTCAGGAGGCAATTAACTCTGCTGCCGCGGCGCATGCAGCAAGTTACACAGGTCAGCGAGAACCCTGGTTGAACTGGGATGTAGCTTTTAATCGAGAGTTGAGGATTCTTTCCAAAAAACTACAAGCAAGGAGGCATCCTCACATCATTGCGTCAGCCGTTCCAATGCATCTCTGCCCATTGCTGTACATAACTCCCGGAGCCAGTCAGGGATTCGGTAGCACCAAAGACTTCCTTGAAACAGGAGGCCTTAGCCCTCAGAAGGCATATGAGCCTGACTGGTATATGGAGTCTTTCCTCCCAGTCTAGGTGTAGGCCTGGGCATGCCCAAGAGATGCAACAGGTTGTTTCTTGACATTATTGCCTTTAGTGTGGACACTGGTCTTACTCCCTTGTGCTTATGCAAGGCCATTTCATGGAGTGGAGAAACAAAAGGCAACACTTGTACTCAGTTCTTCAACAGAGAATTCATAACTACCTCCAAATGCAGATGAGTGCTAAGCAAATGCAGGTCTGTATCAGACCCAGGGCACACTTTAATTGAACTGTAGAGTTACTTTGCCCAAGTCCAAGAAAAGTTTTGGGTTTTTCATCAGTCAGAGCAGTGCCCTAATCTGTTGGCCAGAGGCTCTCTGAAATGGGTTGCCTCACCTCTCCTGTTGCAGCTGTTTCATTTTGTATAAATAAATATTCATTGATACAGAGGGCCCCGCAGGAGTGAGATCAACTTCCAGGCCTGCCAAGGAGGGTCATTGCCCTAGGAGATGGGAGGCCTGCGTTCCAGCCCGCAGGCTAGTGAATGTTTAGTTGTCTATACAAAGTGGGGCCAGAAGCAGTGGAAGGACGCAGAGCACCTCCCTGGCCCCACAGCAGTTTATGGCCCAAGGGTGAGGGTAGAGAGCTGTCCAGCCCCATGCGGCTGAGCAGGGAGCTGCTCTGGGGCTGGGATCTTCCAGTGGTGACAGTGTGGTAAGGAGCCAGGGCAGAGCTGTGATCCACTGTCCACACACACTTGCCTGGCACATGAAGGCAGCAGATTGCTGTTCTGCCCTGGCTCCGGACCATGCTGTCACTGCTGCAAGACCCCAGCCCTGGTCTCAGAGCAGCTCCCCACCCAGCAACATGCCCTGCCAGTACTGCTGGGGGCCAGTCTCCATCGACATCCTGGCCCCAGCTGTCACAGCCCCCACCACTGCTGGGATCTCCATGGAAACTGGCCGCAGTGATGTAGGCAGAGGCTGCTGGGAAACAGAGTCTACCATGGGCCTGATCCAGCCTCTGAGCCAGACTTCGCTTGCCCCTGACTTAGGCACTAGGGAGGAGGCAATGTTGTGGAGGACCAGAACTCCCAAGTTATAACAGTTATCTTGGTCACAGATGCAGAGTAGAAGGGGAGGATGGGGCTCCTCTTTTGGCAGTTCAGAGAATTTAGTAATAGCTATTGTTTCTTTTGTTGTTCTTCCAAAGCCCAAAACAAAGAACCAGTAATGCTGGGTTGAAGGAAATGTTACATGTTGAACAAACGAGTTTTTTTTGTTTTTTTTTTTTTAATATATACAGGAAGAAAATACAAAATAAGATTAAATTCAGTCTTAACAGATTTCTCCCCTTTTCCCTGCCATGCACCATGGTTCCCTGGCTGTGCTACCTGAAGCACATAACAGGAACCACTTGATATTCCTTTGTTTCTAACTGCAGCTGCTGCATCTAAGACGAGCCTGGATGCCTGTAACATGGTATGTTGTCCCAAGAGTGGCTATTTCCAGACTAATAGTACCAGCCAGAACATGAATGCACTTATGAAAAATGACTCCGTGCCAGGAGGATCATGTTCCCATTCCTGGAATCTAGTGGGTTTTCAACTCTACAGCCAATTCAGCGGATAACAACACCAACAACCCCTGTAGGCATCACTCCAGTTACACAGGGATGACTGGAGGCCAGGTGTATTATGTTCTCCGTCACCAAAACAACTACCTTCAGAGACATGGGACTCAGTTCTTCATGGTCTTGCCCCTGCTAGCATCGCCATCATCATCCATATCTGTGAGAGAAGGGGCAAGAGGCAGCTGAATCAGCCCAATTACATTTTATACCCAGTGCACCAGAGCCATTGACAAAGGCAGTGGGGAAAAAAAAGCAAAAAAAAAAAAAAAAA